GCTACCCCCCAAACCCCTGGGGGGGGGGGGGGGAAATCAGGAGAGCTGCTTCCCTTATACAGACAGTGCTTTACAAATTTATTTTTCACTTAGTTTAACAGGTAGAAGTTAAATTTATCTAAAGCAACACATATGAACTGTAAGGACTTCCAGCGCTAATTATTTATGCAATTGTGTTCCTAGCCCTAGAATCACTGCTCTTGAATATATACATATATTATACAATATATTATACATACACACCCCACCACCCCTACTTTCAGCAGCCTGGTAAACAAACTTCATCAGGATCTCTAAAAAAAAAATAAAATAAATCAGAGCAGCCAGGCTGCACAGATCCTTAAGCAGACTACAAAATGCACAGTAATTACTTTTCTTCCAAGGCTGGTGCAGATTTTAAGAGATAAGTGTTGATGATATGCAAAACCTGGCAGAACATTCAAATTTACACTGCAAATTGGGAGAGAGTTACAGAGCATCTGAAGTAAACCTGTACAAGTGAAACACCCAGTAATGCCTCTGGAACTGTCCCTAAATACATTAGCTTAGCTCAGAGGCATTCATAGAAGTAATTAACAGTTGCAAATACACTTTTGCTCTTGATCATTTAGACAGCTGTGTCCCCATTTCTAGATCACTGGCTGGCTTCAAGCATGCAAATGTGGTGTTGGGATGAGTTCACCTCTTGTGGGAATGAGAGCCTGAGTTGCCACAAAGAGTAAGTAAAACCAGAAGATGGGATTTGGGCTTTTCACCCTTGATAGTCCTATGTTATGTGATCCAGTGCAGCAGGGAGCACCCACTCTTCTCCATACCAGTGGGAAGATATCAAAGGATGTAAACCATCATATGTCAGAGCTTTGCAGTCCCCTCTACTCTGCTTTGGTTAAAGTATTCCTTTTCAAGCTTTGCATAAGGAAACTCAAGAGTTGAGGGCAAGACCATCTTCTTCAGGCAGAATTACGACAATCTGAAGCTTCAGCTATAATGCTCTTTGTTACAGCATTTTCCCGCCACCCCCAAATAATAAAGTTTCTGAACACCCCAGGCACATCAGCTTTTCCATCTGCAGCAGCTACAGGGAAAAATGGGGAAAACACAACTGCAATTCTATAATTTTGAGAACAAGCAAAACAAACTTTAAACATCCTTGCAAAGAAAAATTGGTATTTGCCACCACCTTGAATTTGATCAAAGCAGAGTTTGTGTTATGGCCGGTTTGGAGCTCACCCCGATGTAAAACACCCCATGTTTATGGGGTACAATCTTTATTGTACCACCTTCATATTTTAAAAGGAGTCTGGGCATTTGAGAAGTAGATGGGGTCAACAAGGCATGAAGGTCACAAGAGAAGATTGGTTACTTCACATTCAATACTTCCGTATATAAATTTTAAGATCACAGAAGTTACAGGTCAAGATTTAACCTTTCAATTTGCTCACAGCAGCCGCCAGAAACAAGAAGATCATTGCACTTGTAAAGCACAAGAAAGCTTCCCTCAGTAAGGCGCACTCTCATTATGGCCCCGTTAGCACTGTGTATTTCTGCATCGCATGCTACAGAAGAGGCTCTGCTATCATTTCCTCTCTCCATCCTCACAGCTGTGTCCAGCCCAGGCAGGACACCCACACCTGCTTTGCCAACAGGTAGACTGAGGCACAGAGCACTGCCATGACCCACACACCAACATGGAACAGGTTGTTGGAAGATTTGCAGTTTCCGTCTCTGAACATTAAAGGACACCTCTGTCATAACAAAAGTGATTATGGCAGTATTTCCTGGGGATTAGCAGCTGGCCAGGGCTAAAAGCCTGTTCACCAACTCAGCTGGCCATAAGCGTTACCAAGTCCTGGAGACAGCCACAATCACCGGGCATATGGTAAACAGAGCACACACAACTCAGCAACCATGCAGAATGTATTTCCATGCCTCTGCACTTAGATTTGGACTCAAATAAGTAAGAAACAAGCTATTTTTTAGGGGAGTCTTGTTGGTTTTCTCAGCTTCCCCACACTTGGCTATATTGCACTAATATATTTAGGGCTGAGCACATCTTTGGTGCACTGTGCTCAGCCTGACTACATCTATGTACTCTACCTCTCAAGGCTGCAATTCAATTTGCAGCCACCTCAAAACCAGGTAGGATTGCTCCTGGTCACAGGACAAGCCTGGACACAGGGGAAGAAACTTTGACTTTACTCTTGTATTTTAATTAAAGCAATAAGAACATGACTAGTGGTGGCCTTTGTCCTGCACCACAAACTTGCTATAAGCCATTTGAATCCTGCAGATTTATTGTTTGTGTTTATAACAGAGCAAAGTGAATCTTGATGCCCACATTCAGAGAGAGCAGCGAAGCAGGTGGTGCCCTCACTGAAACAGAGCTATTCAAGGCTAGCACATGCTCAAGCTCCCTATGAAAACATTAACTCACTTTGTTTGCTTCAGCCAGTTCACCGCTGTTTCCTGCAGAGTGCAGATGTCAAGATCAAACACACACAGCTTCGATGGCTGGACCACACGACAAAAACAATGTGTCCCCGGGATAGTGTGAACGCACATGGCTTCATTCCTCTGTACGGCATCCTATACCTCCCCCCCCTTCTTCCCTGTACCTTGAATACCTTGCAAAAAATTAAAAACAAATCAAGGCTGTGAACAGACTGAGGAAAACATATCCAAGCAAGAGCAGCATGTCCCCTGGCACTCAGGAAGCCTAAAGTTGCTGTCAGCTGGCTAGCCATTACCAGGGCATTATTTAACAGCATGGAGGAGGTATCAGCTTTCTCCTCCTGCTTAACTGCTCAGCCAAAGTTTCAAGTGGGAAGGGTAGATGGCAGCAACCACCACCATCTTCTGCTACAAAATAGGAGTGGAATGAAGATGAGCACATGGCTGTGAGCTGCACTGGTGTCATGTGTTTAAATATGAGCACTGAGAGGGTTAAAGATAAAGTCTGTGCCTGCCAGCATCGGTGCCTTCTGCATCTGGAAATGTGGCTGGACCTGGGGTTCTATCTGTTGATGCACTGAACACTCCCAGATACAGCTCAAGCCAACACAAGCTGGCAAACGAGCAGAGCATTGGTTTGATTTTATTACCATTGTTCCCTATAACCTCAGCCCTTCCCCATGCACAAGGAAGAACTGCACTAATTCACTAATTAACTTGCAGGATCCTCTCCTGTCCCCATTGCAATACTATGAGGTATTACTTGAGAGTCTGGCAGCCAAGATCAATGGACATTTTCTCTACCTTTAACCTGCACCTCATTCCCCTGCCATGGGAAATCAACTCTCCACTACAGAAGCACTGTGAACATTTGCATCTGCCAATTTTTACAGAGCAGCTGAATATTCTGTGGAGGAACACCTTTGTGCCACAGGGAGACCGTTTCACGCCTCCAGAATGGGGCACTAACAGCATGTTAAGCAAAGCTCACAGCTACACAGAGAGCAAGCAGAAAGCAAAAGTATCCCAGAGCAGCTTCTCCTTCACCAAGCTTTGTCTAAGCAGGTTATTTGAAAGATGCAGGTGTTCAGCAGCTAAAAAACCAAACTGATTGCACAATTAAAGCATATGCCCAAGGAGCCAAATTAAGGATTCCCAACGAAGCGAGGAAATACCTCACTTCAAATTGCTTTGTAGCATCAAACCTGCTCTTTGAGAGTGTTCTCCTTGCACAAAAGATACCATAATGAGCCAAGCCTGAGAATCTTGAAAACAAAGGATGTGCTCAGGTATATTCTGAAGGATTTTAAAGGATAGCCCAAACCTTGTGCTGTTGTACAATAGGTCATTAAAAAAAAAAAAAAACCAAACAACAAGGAATACAGACTTGGCCAGCTCCTCACTGGGATGAGCAGAAAGGCTGCCATTCACATGGCACTTCTGCTAATGTCTTTCACCTTCACAAATACCTCCTGCCAATCCTAATCAGGAGAAGTAAAGGTGCCAGAGAAATGTGTTAAACCCCAAGGCTGCTCACCTAGAATTTAACCCAGAAACAGGGACCAAGTGGCTGGAAAGGGCAGAATAGCTTTAGGAGCATGCTGGAAAGCATTACAGTCCTCATCCATGCTCAACCATTCATGCCATTAAATAAGGGTCTCAGCGCTCACGTAAGCATGGGCAATCTCAACCCATCTTTCAACTCCCCCCCTACGTAGTTTTAATAATGTGGCAAGAAAAGAGGTCTAGATGCACAGCATTTAGACTTCTTAGATACTGGTATCAGGGGAAGACTTTCACAGCAACATTAATATGGTTTCTCCATTTGTTAAGATACCAATCCCATCTCAGCTAACTGAAATCTGATCCAGTAGAAATTCTGTGTATTCAGGTGAAAATTTGACACAGGGCTGCCTCAAATCTCAGACACTTCTTTTCTCATGAAGACCTGAATGAACACGAGACAAGCAAACATCATGCATATTTGCAGCCCTGTATTTCCCTTTGACAAGGGAGCAAAGCAGAGATATGCGCACTGAAAAATGCTGTTGCAAGACTTACCTTTAATAATTCCTTTGAAGGCATCAAGCACAAACGTGATGGATATAAAAAGTGCAATTATTTCTTCTGTTGACCTGTGAAAAAAATCCCAGGAATTAATATAGCTATTAGCAAAGTCTGCATTCAACTCCATTCAAAGGAAAATCAGCACATTCATACATTTACATGAAAATACACTAGTTTTACTTAGACTCCAACTCAGGAAACAAAACCCAGTGAATCTTTAAAAGCTTCTTTCAAGCTGGAACAATAAGCTGAAATGATACTAGCCTCATCTCGCAAGATATATTTTGTGGCAAGTTTGTAATTAAAGGAGCTTGTGGAATGTATAATTTTTCCATTTGCTGAATAATCTGATCAAAATATGACTTCTTGAAAATAGCTACCTTTTAAAGAGCTTCATCAGAAGACTGAAATTAAAGAGGGAGTACATCACAAGGAAAAAGCTGTTCCACAGTCCAATCCAGGCATAGAAAGCACTGAAATCCAAGTTGTAGTCATCACAGATTCCTCGGATGACTGCAAAAATGAAGCATTCACATGTCAGATTAAACTTTTGTCATTACCACCCTGTGATTCCCATCTGCTTGATAGCAAAAAGAACCAGTTTCAAGAGTTCATCACAACGCAGTTATGGCAGAGAGCATTAAAACCCTGTTCTTACACTCCCATATGAACACTGGGCCAACTGAAATCGTTCTCTTCACTCCTTTTTCTCCACTGGAAACAGGGAGAAGCACTTGGAAAACTCCCACACACAGCTCAAAGCATCTCTCCTAAGGATCAAGGCGACAAAATCAGCCCTTTAAATCTGCTCTTGAATCTGCAAGGGATCTCATACATGCTTTTACACCATGTTCACTCAGTCACCGTATTGTGGACAAAACCTCATGTCTTAAACCCTTCAAGCTAGTCATAACCCATCTGACTGTTGCTATAGATACTGAGTTTGCTCCTTTACATCCATGGCTCAGTAATATCAGCTGGCAAGCATAACTGGAAAGCTACTGATCACCCCTGAGAAGATCAACAGTCACCAACAAAAAAACCCCATTGTCTCAGGTTCTTATCCTCAAGTTGGTTAAATGCAGCCACACGAGAAAACCATCAGATGAAAAAGATTTCCTCATCAAGGCAAAAAAGCTTATTCTCACAGAACATTTTTCTATGCAAGATGATTTCTCTCAAAATCAAACTTTACCTTAACCAAATTCCTCTCCTATCCTTTAGCACCAGAAGCAGTCCTTGAGTATTAATTTATTAAGCACACACAACTAAAGCTCTAACAGGATTGCAAAGTTCTTGTACAAAGTCCCATTGCAATCACAGTCCCAATGTACACATTTAATAGACTTACCATTGATGTAGAGTGCTAAAGGAGCAGTAGTTAGGAGTACAACTAGAGGTTGCCCTGAAAACAGCGCGTAAAGCAGCCCTCCAATACACTGGCCAACAATTGTCTTCTGCACATCTATGAGTAATTAGGAAGGAGGAAAACAAAACAGTGTAACCAACACCTCCCTGAATAAGGAGCATTCACAGGGCATAGCACCCAAGCATTAATGTTTAGAGAGTATAGAGGTAAGACTGTAAAAGCACGAAGTCACCGTTTGCCAGAAAACTTGTGCCACTAGTTTGTGACATCAGGTTTCCAGATGCTGAACTATTAAAGTTAGGTGGGTTTTCCTGTTTTGTTGGTTGCTTGGTCTTTTGGGGGGCTTTTTTGTTGCTGTTATTTGGTTTTGGAGTTTTTAAAACAAATTTAAAAATTAAAGAGCTACAAAAACATTACCAGTGTTTGTGGAGGCCTTCAGGATAAGATTTCAACTAAGACTCCCAGGAACTGTAACAGCAGTATGAACTGTTTTCAAGCCACAACTGGGATAGAGCGAAGCATCCTCCACTACACCAGTGGTTTGGATACTGGCAATCAAATTCAGATCAAAAGCACAGGAGTTTGTACTAGGAGAAACGTGTAGATGACTACACAGTTACAAAGTGAGCATAATTTAAAAATACAGTAACATATATCTGCATCAGTCAAGTCAGATGGTACTCCTCAAAGTAGTGTTCAACTTCTCCACTCTTCTGAGAAAAAGTAATGAACGTAACAATTAGAAAAGCCTTCAGTGCTGGTTGGTTCCCCCCCACCCCCACCCCCAGTAAATAAAAACTATCAAAGCTTTCTGTGACCAGAGCTACCCAGTTTGAATACATGGAATCCTGTAACAGATGCATAAAACTGACAAACTTACCTATAGCTCCTCGGGTATTTTCATCATTAAGTGACCCAAATGCAATGGATGGAAGGAGGCAGGCAAAATACAGAAAGATCATAGTTGTGATGTATTTTCCTATAGCTTTGTTGTTTCCTATAACACCTAGTGTAAACCATAACAAAAGTCACATTAGTACTGCCTATTTGTAAAGCATTGAAACACCCTGCTCAAATCAGCCGTATGTCGGCATTAGTTCTTTTCACACTGACAGAAAAACACAGAAACTTAGTCCACGCTTTAGTCTTAAGCATATAGGTAGGTCTTTAATGCTTGATTGTGCACAACCATGTTTTTGTTCACCTGGGACCAGAGTAGAAGCACCAACATGTCACCAGACTGCTTCAACAGACATTTCTAGCATCGTCAAAACAGGAAATACTGGAAGACATTTGTTCTGTTTTGCCAGCCGCAAAAGCTTGGAAGAGGATCAAAGCAGAAACTATAAGTTTAGGATTTATAAACCCCCCAAATCCCCTGCCTTTTTAACACCAACTTTCTAGGTATTCTGGACTATGTCCCTAATGAGGTTTATGGTGATCACTTATTTTCCTGCCCAAGGCATCGTGAGTTGTAAAGACATGAAGCACTTCATTTCTCCCCAGGCAGAAATCGGAGACTATAGGTTTGAATCAATAATATGCTTTGCTGAGCCAATTAAGTGTGAGCAGACTTACGAAAACAAATAGCACAAGAGGAGAGGTCAGGAAAGCGTACATTGAGAGTTTTGGGTTTTTTAAAAAAAAAAAAAAAAGCACTTCTGAGAGGATAGGTTTTCACTTTTCCATGCACTCACTCCCTCTCATCTCTATTGGAAAAAAACACACCAGGCCAAAACAAAAGCAGCCAGAAAGAGAATTAAAGTGTCACAGTATGAATTTAAGGGCCTCTGAAGTAGTTTCCCTTCCCTTTCCTGTTTTCAGGCTGATGTCCATCCTCAATGAGCTCATATCACACAAGGAAAAGGATGAGATGACAACAGCTGATACTACTCAAGAAGAATGTAAGTTTTGCCACTGAGCAGTCTCTTCAGAGAGGCTACACCAGAGAAGGCCTTTTCAAATTAAACCTTGAAACAGTCTTCAGCCTGTCTGTGTCACTATCCTTGATGATGCCCCTGCAAGACAGTTGGACAAGTTGCGACTTGCCCAATTGCCCTTTCTGGAAGCCTCTTGAGCAGTCAACTCCAACGCAAGCACTGACCCCTAAGCTCCCAAATGCCCATCTAAGCCTTTGCCAGCATCAGTTTCCTTGCTGAGGAGGCTACAAGCCAATGAGTTGAATCAGAGAAGGGAGGGCTTTGCATTAGAGATGGTTGGTGCGACAAGTGAGAAAGCCTGGACACTGCCACAACAGACAGTATTAGCAGAAAGAAAAGCAATCACTCAGTGACTTTAGGATCTTATCTGTTTTCTGCACCATTTGGAGTACATCGATAAGTACAGAAGGAGGATGCAGAACCCAAAAATCAAAGAAGGTGTGTAACAAACAGGCAGTCGCATGAATAAAGGATGCCTTGTGACCGTTCCTGTTTGCAGACATGAGAAGAGCAGACAAATAGGACTTCTGATGCTCAGCATCGCCCCCCCCAAAAAAAAAAGCCAGGGGCTGAAACTTGACAAGAGACATCTCAAGCATGCAAATATGAGCCTGACCTTCCAGGAGTCATAGGACCAGCTGTTTCAAGACAGATTCCTTTCAATTTATTGTGAAGATTCAGAAACCACAGACCACATTCCTGACCACTCTTGGCAACCAAAAGGCCTGAAATCTACTTCTTGCAGATGAAGCTTTCTCATGTGATCTTGAGTCCAACAGCTGCAGGGTCCTACCTCACACCCTCAAGTGTCCAAGACCTTTAGAGAAAAGGAAAGACTTGGCAAACAGTAGACAGAGTGGTAGCTTCTTAAGTAGGGATGGCAACATCCTGGTTTTGGGGACTCTGCACCACTCCAGAACACTTTTTTTTTTTAAACAAGAATCTTGCCAACAAAGGTCTGATGCAACAATCCCTGAAACCTTTGGAAGACAGGCAGCCAGGAGCAGAGAAGCAACCAATTAAAAAGAAAAAGCTCATTTGCAGAGCAGTGTGCACTACGTAAGAGATGGGATGCTTTCTAAAACACTTGCAGTCAGATAAACTGTAGTACAAGGGGGCAGAGGGAAAGAAGATGCCTTGAAAATATCACAAAAGCTCACACATGGCTTTTAGTTTCAGCTTCAATCCTTGCAAAGCAAGCATGAGTCCTTTGCCACATCATGGCTGAATCCAAGACTTCTAGTACAAAGCAGTACTTTTAGTCCATAATCAACCACAAGAGATCTAAGGAGCTAAGAATCCCTACTGGTGGGCAGCAAAACTCACTTCATAATGGAGAAAACTACATCAGATTAAACATACCCTTTCCACAAACATGATTAATCACTCTAATTGCAGTTAAAATCATCAGCAAATACTGACTCCTTGTACAGATTCACCTGAGACCAGCACTAAAATCCAGTGCTAACCACAGTTTGCCTTTTGCCTTTTTAAAGTCAACATCTGGCTAAATATTTTCAGGGTTTATTTGCAACCTGGGGACTGACAGCACCTCATGTAAAAGAGGGTGGGCTGCATTATGATGGTGTGTCTTCTGCAGCAGGCTTATAAAGCCATTGAAAAATGTGTCACTCCAACTACATAATGGAAATTTGTAGTAGAAAATCAACTCCCAGTCCAGCTGTGAAATTTGGGTAGCTGACTATTACAGAAGCAATCCCTTGAAATTAAGGTACATCTACACATTGAAATGGGAAGCAATTACGTTCATCAACATGACACTTCTATTTTACTTGCTTGAATTTCTGAAATGTCGTATTTTTAAAGACAAGGTTAGAGTTTTCTCTGAAACTGCAGCATTGCTAGCCTCACTTTGCTTGGCATTTTGCATCAATAAGTTGATGACCAAAAGACCCAGAGACTGGGACTAGAGCTCCTTAAGCCTACTAATTGCACATGTACTGAATCGAGAAACAGATGGACATTCTATGAAATGTCTGACTATTAATGTTCTTTCCCAATTCTCTGAAATATTCAACACAAAACAAGTTTAATTATACCAATCTGCAGCACAGCAGAAAGGATGTGTCTGTTAAGGTCCTGACTTGGGCGGGGGGGGGAGGGGAAATCACTTTCCAATGGTAAAAAACACACAATAAGAATATTTGCTCATAGGTTTTCAGCCATAGAAACTCAAAGCATTACAGACTTCTGCTAATGCCCTCAAGATGGGCTTTCACTTATGTTAGTAGCTGCTGGACTCTGTCCAATTTTCTGAAGATGAACAGAAGATGAATCTTCCTCAAAGTCCTGTGAAGAGTATATCACAGTGCAAGTGAGACTAAGAACTTAGCTGGAAAAGGAAATCCACTCTTAACTCATTTTGGAGCACAGAAGCCAAGCATATGTTAAGACTAGAAAAGTATGAAGAAACAAATCAAGGGATCAGAGCTTTCCCTTTTCATTTCTTTCAGCTTATTTCCCATGAAGTACTAGTCTCTTGGAAAGAAACATCCACAGACAAAACAAGACGCTTTTATGCATCTCTAATGCATTCCCAACCACCACTGACAGAGAGTTCAAAAGCATCATAACTGCAAATTCAGGTCATGATGCCCCAAAGCATCCAAGTCAGCCTTTGAGTGGCTGCTGAAGTTCTACACCCAGGTGATATTTAGGAATGATGGGTTGCAGAGTGATGCAGGAGCTATGTCATCATCTAACCTAGGGCAGCAGAGGCACTGCAGAAAAAGCTTATCTGCAATCCCCTTATTTTTCCTCCACCCTCAAGAATGAAGTCATGCCAAACAAGGTGGCCAGTGCAACCAGGTGGGAGAGTTGAAGATTTGGCACATACCACAGGCAACATTTTAGCAAGTTTAAGCCCCTTAATCAACAAGACAAAACTTCTTGTTCAAGTTCCATTTTTCCAGTGCCTTCAAACCTTCCTTGTACACATACCTGCATTACATGGAGTCTTTGGAGATCTCCCTCCTGCAAAACACTACCACTAAGTCCTGAGGATTCTACCAGCAGATGTGCTTGCTGTACTCTCAGCAGCTGGTTACTGACCCTCTGCAGGACCAAGGACAGGGAGGAGTCCACACCTCCAGCTTAATTATCCACTCACCACAGCCCATGTGCCAGGGACTCAGGTCAATGAAAACGGAAAGAGAATAAATCTCAGCCCTCTTCTCTTCACCCTTCCTTTCCAAGGAGTGAAGGGATACAGCAAAACACAGCAAAGCTAACCATAAAAGCCTCAGGCACCTCAAATGTCACCCCTGGGCACTCCAGGCACTTAGTGTTTATTCCTGCATTGTACCAGAAAACACAGACTGAAAGTAAAGGTAGGAACTTTAAGATGTTTCAGGAATCTTGTAACTGAGACCAGGCAGAATTCCCTCCCTTCACTCAAACCAGCCTCAAAATGACCAAAAAAAAAATCAGGAAGTCCCTATGGTTTGACTGAATCTTAAAGAATAATAATATAATGATACACATGTTTTGAGCCCAGTTGAGAAGATCTGGATGAAGTCCTGTACAAACTAAAAAAGCAGAATCCTATAAACAAATGCTGTAGTCAAAGAGGAGACCTCATGCCAAATCGTGTTAATTCTAGCTTTCCTTTAAAGTTACAGGTGTTCTTAGGCTCTGCATATTCCAACTGTTCATCTTCATATGCTCCTCTGCTGGAGGACACCCATTACAAGCCATCCATATCACTAAGGTCCTGGACCAAAAGTTTAGAAAACTCTTCCTTAATCCTTGCTTGTTCAGTAAAATACACAAGACTTCTACAAACCAAAGCAGACCTGAAGCTGACAAATTCCTAATCTGGAAAAAAAAAAAAAAAGAGACATGATTCCTCTCTTTCCTTTCCCAAGTCATGATGGTTAAGGATAATTTAATGGCCTGCTTTGTGCAGCATGTAAAGATGACCTATCCCACAGAAGTCCAACTGACAAAACATTTGCTGGCCCAACAAAATCTTTATTATTTATCACCCTGCCCTTAATCAGTTTATCTGTCTAAACCAAAATCCCAGGATGCTTCTCAGATTGAGGATTTAGAAACTCCAACCATTCAAAAATGGCATCTGTGTAATTCAGAATTCTTTGATGATGCATGTGTGGTTGTCTGCAGCGCAGATACTTGGATAGCTCAAATCCCCAATGTTCTGATACACTGCTGCTTTGAGATGGTCCAGGAATTTCACATTCCTGATCACCTTCGGTCTTGGTGTTTTATGGCAGATGCTTTATGCTCCACCTGGTTTTCATTCCACACAGATCCTTAAAGAATTCACCTTAATTTCTGGTTTCTGGGAAGAAGTGACACATACTATAATATATACAGGTTTTTAAAAATCCTCTTTCCTCCATATCCTATTTGAAAGGCCACAATTGCTCCTAAGGCAAGTACTTCATGTTTGAGCTGCAGCAGTTCTTGAGTTTCACTTGGCTCATTTCTACCTCTTCCACTCTCCAGAAATTGTATAACAAAGCTTTTTAACATATATTTGCATTTTATATCAAACCCATTTTCCTGCAATATTCCTAATGCTAAATTCTAACAATAACAATATTTCATCACTCAGGGCAGATGCAACCAAGGGAACAATTCTTTCAAGCTAGACAACCCCAGCATCTTGTTTAGGCCATGCCTGATCTGCTATGTACATCAGTTCATGGAAAGCTTGTGGACCTGGCTATAGCTGACAGCTCCAGGGATGACAGGAAGCACACACAGGTTACCTTGGATGCATGCAGAGCCAGGACATGGACCCTGTAGTGGATTTCCAAATCTGCTGACAGCTAAAGCTAGCTGCAAGACCATCGTATGATGTTTGAGTGTCCTGAGCACAGCAGGTTCAAACAGCCATGAGCAGAGAGCAGATACTGCTCTGTTCAGATGTATGTGCGTGCCCACAGGATGCTTCCCCCAACAAGTCCTGCAGCACTTCCGTTCTTAAGTGCTTTAGTATCCTTTTACAATGAAAAGTTAGACAGCCCTACAAAGAACAGCCAGAAAGATCAAGCATCCTGAGCCCATTCCAGAGGTGTCCAGATTAGGGGCTTACATCCCCTGCCAGATCTGGTGCCAATAATGCACATGCCAAGAAATACTTCTTGCTTTTATGAGACTCCTTGCTCCTACCCTGAAAATATTTTCTTGTCCCCCTTCTTCCTCAACATACCCTCAATCCCAATAGAAGATGGCATTAGTTATGTTTGAGTTTGACCTCCTTTCACCACAAGCCTCCTGAAAATAATTTCATCCCAGCAGTTACAAAGCATTTGGAGAAAGCATCCAAGCACTCAACCCCTGTGCTGATCCCACATCTCATCCATTTCATTCTTCCCAGCAAAGTGGATACCACTAACTTCAGAATCCATTGTGGTGGGTAAAGCAGTCTCAGAAGATAAAGCTGGATCTTTGTGGGAAGAAACTACTTGGCAGCTCCCCCAGACATGATAACTCCCTTCAGCCAAGCAGCCAACAGACTATTCCTGTGCCCGTTTTCACCAATTGAAATGGAGGGAGGACACATCCATACCCCAGCAACACTTGCTCTCAGCTTAAGCTGCTGTGGAATGTGGCTTTGCACCAGAATGCTTGTCTACAGAATGGAGCTCAGGTGCACATCTTATTTTTTTATGCCAACTCCAAGAGAAGTTGGCATAGGTACAGGGGAAGGGCTGGAATATTGTGGCTTGAGCTAAGGGGGGTTTTAACAGCAGGAAGGTGTTTGATAGAGCCCAGAGATTCTCCTTGCCTATATCCTACTTCTTTATTTTATGCAAACTTTTGGTGTTTGATACTTAAACATATTAACTAACTCCCCAGTAATCTGTAAGAAACTGAACATGTTTTGATGTCATGCTGAGACTTTGTAATTATGGTTTGCCCTGAAGACTTTTACAATCTCTGAGGCCTTTAAGAATCTCAAAGTGAAAGTTTAAAGTGAAGGTGAGTGCAGCCTCAGCAAGTTTACATATGACACCAAGCTGAGTGGTGCAGCTGACACTTCTGAGGACAGAATGCCAGCCAGAGCTTCTTCCATCTTGATGTCATCTGATGTATGAACCTCATGAGGTTTAACAGGGCCATGTGCAGGGTCCTGCACATGGGTCAGGGCAACCTCCAGTATCAATACAGGCTGAGGATGAAGGGATCGAGAGCAGCCCTGAAGAGGAGGACTTGGCAGTTCTGGTGGATGAAAAGCTGGACATGAGCTGGCAGTATATGCTGACAGCCCAGAGAGCTAACCATATCCCAGGCTTTATCCAGAAAAGCATGGCCAGCAGGATGGAGGGGATTCTTCCCCTCTACTTGGCTCTAGTGAGACCCCACATACAGTTCTGCATCCAGCTCTGGAGCCTTTAACATCAGAAAGATATCAGCTGGTTGGAGTGAGTCCAGAGGAGGCCACGAAGATGCTCAGAGGGCTGGAGCACCTCTGCCATGGGGACAGGCTGAGAGAGTTGGGCTTGTTCAGCCTGGGGAAGAGAATGCTCCAGGGAGATCTTAAAGCAACCTTGCAGTACTTAGAGGGGGCTTATAAAAAAAGATAAGGACAAAATTTTATCAGGGCCTGTCGCAACAGAACAACAGGTAATGGTTTTAAAGTAAAAGAGTAGATTTAGACTAGATATAAGGAAGAATTTTTTTTTTTAATTTTAAAAAATCAGGGTGGTAAAACACTGCCACATGTTGCCCAAAGAGGTGGTAGATGTCCCATCCCTGGAAACATTCAAGGCCAGGCTGGATGATGCTCTGAGTGACCTCAGGAGCAACTTGATCTAGTGGAAAGTGTCCCTGTCCATGGCAGGGGGTTGGACTAGAGACCTTTAAAGTTCCCTTCCCACCCAAACCATTCTATAAAGAGGGAGAAAGGGATTTAAAATCAATAAAGCCATTGTGGGAGCTATATAAAGCCTGAAACCTGAGGCTCAGTATCAAAAAAGTATTACTGCTCTTGTATCCTGTTTTTAAAAGCAGTGCGTTGATGTTACCAAGCATCTCTGATTTTGTTTAAGCATTCTCAACTCTCACAGCAACACCATAATTGCTATTGATGCTGGCTTGCAAAGACAGCACCAAGGGCCTACTAGGCCAGTGCTGACTAATTAGGTTGCAGTGAGTTGATCTGTGTCTACACATGACGACAATCAACCCCTTCAATTGCCTCATTGCTTAATAAAAATTAAAATCCTCATCTACATAGTGCTAACATCTTCATTAAAGGAACACTGCAAGATTGTAATCTATAATGTGCCACGCTGCCTATTCACAGGCTTTTGTCAAAATATTCCTCTAAATAACAGAGCTATTACACATATCAAAGGACACATTCAATGCACACTGTAAACAGGACATCACATCACAAAAATTCAGAATCAGGCCAACACTTTCATAAACATCGGCCAACATACCATCAGTGAAGTCCAAAGCGTACACTGGAAATCTTCGTGCAATGTCATCAGAAATCCCCTTGCCAACATTCAGAAACTCGTGCAACTAAAGAAAGGAAGGAAGTGCTGTGTCAGTTTAAAGGCTCATGTATTGTTAAAGAGACTAACCTCCTCATTCAATACTGATAGGAGCAAAACCAGTCATTTTGAATAGGGCATTCAAATCAGATTTTGTAATGATAATAAAAATAAACTCTTTGCACTTCAATTTATATCTTCAAAAGCATTGTAAGAGAGAAAATCCCCCAGACCACCCTGTTTTCCTCCCTTCCTTCCCTTCTGACCCTCCCATTCATATCTGCATCCCCACTTCACAGGTAAAGGAGCTGATGCAGTGTGACCGGCAGAAAACACCTTGTCCAACACCAGGATTAGACCCTGGGGTACTGGGTAATGCCTGTGTACCCATGAGGTAAACATCAGGTCAGAGGTACCTTTCCCACCCCTCCAGGGAACTTTTTCTTTAGAAGCCACTGGAAACACTCTGCCCCCAACACCCACAAGGTCCCTGAAAGGGGATTCCTGGCAAGCACTGCCTTCCTTGGCACTGCCACAGAAAAGGGAGACTTCAGATCAATGTAGTAAGGGAATTAAGATTGTCTACACCTCAAACTCCACCAAAAAAGGAACAGGCTAGAATATCTTCACATAACCAAAACTGTAATTTCTACTCATTACAAGACAGTAAGATCATTGTGAAAGGGTTAAAACCCAACATGTCCCCTTTTATTTATGGTTTGGGGGCCTGCAAGGTACAGTAATTATCATTTATACAATCTGATGCTCATCACAGGCAATAAGGAGCTTTTCAGAAATGTGACAGCTGTTATTGACTTACAGCCTCCCAATTCTCACAACCACATCCTTACAGAAAACACATGGAAAGCTTCAGAGTAGGCAACACTTGCAAATGAGGCACCTGTCAGATTTTTTTTTTCCTATTATCTTCAACTCAGAGTACACATATTACTCTGAAAATCAAATGTACCTCTATACAGTGCCAATTACCCTAGCTGTCTCATCTAAAACATTGTATGTTTGCTGCAGAACCAGACACATAAGACTTATAACCTCTGCTAGGGAGTGTGTGTGTGAGAGAATCACAGATCCAAAACTTAGACCAACAGATCATCTCAAACCAGCATGGACATCTTCCTTTGGCTGGTTTATGTGGAAACTGATAAAAACTACTGCTTTAAAAAGGAGTTGACACTACAGTGCTCATTTAGCAGACTACACACAACTTCACCTTCTCTCACAGGACTCACCTGCTTTGCAGCACCTGGAAGATCACAGCCATAAGTAAAACACAACAAGGAAACTTCTCCTTTAGGAGGCATACACTGGGCTCAGCAAACACTAGGGTATGGGGTGCAAAAGATACTTCAGAGGACCAGCTCCTTTATCAGTGACTATGGTATCTCCTATTTCAGCTACTTAAGCCAGTTCTGTTGCATTTTGCCAATACACCTATATTACTTCAGGACTCTCTAACCTGAACATTAAGGACAAAAAGACAGCAGACAGCAGCAGAACATCTGCATTTTGAGCATTTCCGGAAAGGCTATGAGCTTAAACCATATTTGGAGGCATATTTGGACATCAAAGCCATATGCACTTGAAAAGCAATTTAATTTTTTCCTCCCAGAAAGACATTCCTGAAGGCACGAGTCAGGCAGAGAATCACAATAGCTTTAATGACTAATATGTTTACTTGTCTCGCTGCAGGAGTATGGGGGAAAATGATGCTTGTGGTACCTCATCTTCCGGGGAAGAAGCCACACACTTGCTGCTGGCCTGGGGCTAAGCATGGGGAGGAAAGGGGCACTCATGCACATTGCCTGTTCTTAGGCAGCATGAGTGTGCAGAAGGAAAGCACTGCCTAGTATCTTGTCCCATAAAGCACATTGAGGCAAATTTGAGAGGAGAGGGAGCCAACAGGTTACGTTTGAGACCCCTGATTCTTTCATGCATTTATTTCTTGCACAGGTGCACGCTTAGGCTAGGATGGGCCATGGGGATGTCAAGCTAAACCTCATCAGTGGCTGAGTATGGGAAAAACTTTCTTCTCTACAGCTAACCCTCCTCTTATCTCCACTAACCTTACACTCAGCTTAGTCTTTTATCTCCTCAGTGCAATCCAAATTTACAGACCTCTCAAGTTACTGCCCTTTTGCGTTTTACTTTTATTCCCCAACCTACCCTCCATGCAGCTTCATTGCCTAACTCTACTCCAGACCTGTTTCAGTCACAGCTTTTGTCTTGTGCCATCTTCTGAACTTGCACACACCTTGTGAGGTTTCCAAAAAATCTTGGGAAGGACAGTGCTAACACTTCCTTCTTGCCCTATTTGATCTGCTTCCTCATACACACCAGTGCTCAGAATTTCTTGGACTGCCATTCCCTGCTTCCTTCTCCTTCAGAAAGTCATTTGGCTGACCTGTTGGCTTTCCATTCCCATTCGTGATGGCACCTCTTTTGTGATCCTGTTGTGTTTTGATTTAACATCCTGATACTAAGTGGCATTATCCAGGAGTCCAGAGCTGTACACCCCTACTAGGCTCAAGGCTTATTAGCCTTTAGGAACTGCAGCTCAGGAACCCAGCACCAAATCCTCCTTCAGTCTCCTATTCACCCCTTCTGCAAGTCCATCCAGCGTTTTACCCATGTTGCTCCTAATATGCGAGGGAGGGAAGAGCAGCAAAAAGGAGCATGTAAAAATATCCTCAGCAACGTATAAGAATTTTCTAGTTCCCATTTCACAAGTCCCTTCAAGTCTCTTATCATAAGTGACCATTGTTTGGGTTAGAGGCTAAACCAGCACCACAAGTTACACAGCCAAACAGAAAACACCTGCTCAAACACCACCAATCCTTCCTTGTTCCCCCCCTAAAAGTACTGGAGGGCTGCACAACTATTTCATAAAGACCAGAGACATGCTATCATCCCTTCTGCCGATGCTGAGCCAACATAGTCCAACCTTCTCACAAAATCCACACAGGTATCAAACAAAGTCACAGCCAGAAAGCATCACAACTGTTAGGGGCTCCTCCATGAACAAAATCACAATTAGATGCCTCAGTAAACAAGAGGATTTCAGGCTGACTTAATTATGACTGAGTATGTAGTCTTGCCTAAATAATCCCCTGAGGTGAGCCAAAGCAAACTGACTGTGCTGTAGGCACAGCATGGCATGCAACTGTCATGTCCCCATCAGCGTTTTAACAAAGGCAAGAATAAGAACTTGCAAAAATCCCACTTAAACAGAGCACTTGAGGCCCATTTCTACCCCATCACTGCAGGACCAAGAGAAGGAGGGAAGCAGGTTTTATGCTACCAAGAGATTTTACCTTCCTGACCCCTCCCTGCAGGCTCACTTTTCATACAGTGGCTCTGATTAAGGTATTTGTGTCACCAGGTTGTTTTCAATGGTTCACAGGTTGAAACTGCACCCCAGCCTCATGAGTCTGTGCTCCTATGAAATGCTTGCTTTCTGGAAGGCTATTGCACAGGGCAGGCAGATGGGGAGGAGATGCTGCTGGAGATGGCTCTCACAGGAACTGAGGGATGCACGCTATGATCACATAGAATTGTTTTGGTTGGAAAAGGCCTTTAAGACCATAAAGTCCAACCGTTAACCCAGCACTGCCAAGCCCACCACTACACCATGTCCTTGAGCACCACATCCACACGTCTCTTAAATGCCTCTGGGGATGGTGACTCCACCACCTCCCTGGGCAGCCCCTTCCAATGCCTGACAGCCCTTTCCAGGAAGAAATTTTCCCTAATATCCAATCTAAACCTCCCCTGGCACAACTGGAGGCTGTTTCCTCTTGTCCCATCACTTGTCACTTGGGAGAAGAGACCAACCCCCACCCCTCTGCACCCTCCTTTCAGGGAGCTGTAGAGAGCCATAAGGTCTCCCCTCAGCCTCCTCTTCTCCAGGCTGAACACCCCCAGCTCCCTCAGCTGCTCCTCACAGGACTTGTGCTCCAGACCCTTCCCCACTCCATTGTCCTTCTCTGGACACGCTCCAGCACCTCAGTGTCTTTCTCGTAGTGAGGGATCCTTCTTGCCAAAAGCAAGCACAAAAGAAACAAGTATCGCCATCTACAGCACTGGCTCAGAGCCACCAAAAATCTGCCTGGACAAGGCTGCTTGCCCAGAGAAGTAGGTAGAAACTACCATTTCTCAGGGGCAACATCTACATTCTGTGTTGCATCCAGTCCTCCTGGCTCAAAGCAGAGCAGAAAATCCTCTATAGATACTTAAAAAGATCTAGTTTTATAAGATGAAACTTCAACTGCTCTACCAAAAACCTCTTTGAAAGGCCAAGTTTGAAGGGTTAAATGTACGTTACCTAAATTAAATTACTGCAACTACTCCAAATACCACCACTCTAAATGACCTAGATTTGAAGAGGGTTTCAAGACTTGTTCTGCAAGCTTAAGAGTAGGTATGGAATCTAGCAAAGTTCAAAGCATTACCTATAAGTAAGGGGATTCTGCAGGAAAAACATGAGCTGTGCTCATTTCCAGATGTGCAGATCAAAACCCCTGAAGTCTATTCCAGGGAGAAAAAAAAATTAAGTTAACCAGTTTCTGCACTGCAGGCGACCCACAGATTTCAGATTACTTGTAATTCAGTGACAGAAGCAGCAAGCTAGAGATGGCACAGTTTGTTTTCACAGGTATGCTGTCTGGTTAAAGAATGAATTTCTGAAAAGAAAAAGCAATGACCAATACACAGGAAATTCCACGAAAGAAAGCTGAGTTACAGCATTTCCCTCAAACTTTAGAGTACAAAGCAAGTAACGTTTTACAGAGCTACAGATCAAACAGTGAGAAGTCAGGCCAAATACTGACAGGCAACTTCTAAGTGAAATTACCATACAGGGATGGCCAAGAAGTCTTTTGGCTGCAGTAAAGACAAGCAGCAGCTTCCTTCAGAGACTTCTTATTTTAAGGATTAAGTACCTTGGATTGACAATGCACAGTGATCCCACCCTTGACTAAGCATCTGGAATCGGAGTCCTATAACCATTTTAACCCAATAATGCTCTGCATCCCTTCAGCACCTGACGCTCTGAAGCATTTTCAGGGTTTTTTTAGATTTACAGCGGGAGCTGAGAAAGGTGGTTATACACACAGCAGCCATCTGTAGAAACTTCAGTGCTGAGACCTTGCTAAGAGAGCCCAAAGGATCCAAGCAGCACAAATACTTCATCTCCTTGCCCAAACCCCCTTGCATTTATGCATTTGGACACCACTGCAGCAGGTGCGTGGCAGATGCTGTCTAGCCTTACCTTGAGTGGCTTGGGACCATGCGACTTGTGCCCATCACTCATTGCTGAGGGTCTCTGATTCACTACTGTCAACAAGTGGCGTTGGTGGACTAAGGCTTCCTTGAATTCCTCTTCAGTTTTGGTTTCTAGGAGTTTCTGTCGAAAGGTGATGTCTGAAAACATTGTGGCAAATGTTCTGCCCACTTCTGTGGCTGTTTTGGTACTTTTCTGAGTGGGGAAAAAAATACATAAACACACCCTAGTAAAACTATTTTCTTTCACTTTTAAAACTTTTTTTTCACTTCTAAAAGGTAAAAGCACAGATTTGTCCCATTGGGCACCAACTGAAGAACGTTCTACCTGGCTTCCAGGACCCCAGAGACACACAATAGAGAAGGGTACGTATGTGGAAGCTGTTGAAGACCAACATTTACATTACTTATCAGGAAAAAGTTCTTCCCAGAGAGGGTGGTGAGGCACTGGCACAGGTTGCCCAGAAAAGCTGTGGATGCCCCCTCCCTGGAAGTGTCCAAGGCCAGGCTGGACGATGGAAGTGTTCAAGGCCAGGCTGGATGAGGCTTTGAGCAACTTGGTCTAGTGGAAGCTTGCGCTGCCCATGGCAGGGGGGTTGGAACTAGATGATCTTTCAGGTCCCTTCCAACCCAAACCATCCTATGATTCGTAACATATCAAGATACAGGCCCTGACCAGAAGCACTGATCAGTCTTATATGGTCAACTTCCCAGAACTTGATCCAAAGCTGAATCATACTGAGTATGCATTTTATCTCCAGTGTCTCTTAAAGGCTGCTAAAGATTAAACAGATATGAGTCTTTGCTATCATACAGCATCTCAGCATTTCTGGTACTGGGGTGAAAAGACACTACAGTCAAGGTTCCCACAGGTAGAAGGGTCATGATGTCTTTTCCAGAAGACTCAGATTATTGTGAACATCTGTTTCACCAGCTTCCTATTTTCTGGGCATTAAAACTCAATTTGGTTGGCCTCTGGGGCAGTTCTGGCAGCACAAGTGCAGATTTAGATCTCTCAGCTGAACTAACTAACAGCACAGAGCAAAACATAGGAAAGAAGCAGCTGAGTGCACACACGACCAGCATTATCGTCACTAAATGCTTGGAAGAGGCAGAAGACTTGCAAACACAAAAAAGGAACAAGTGCCTATTTGCAGGCTTTAAGATTTGTGAGCCATGGGCTTCATCTTTGAACATCCAGCTTCAACAGTATTCAAGCCCACTTCTCTACAGCAACTTGAAAATTAGATACAAAAGGGAACAGTAAAAGGAGACTGAGCTCCCCATCCCTGCACAAACCCACCAATTTCAAGCTCTACAAACCCTGACCAGCTCACTGCTTGTACCACTTTGGTCAGGTCAGACAAGATAGTTGCCAAGGCAAAGCCATGTAGAACCATAGCTCATTAAGAGCTCTGACACAAAGTTTTAACCCACCTGCCTTAGCTACACTCAGCACTCATCATGCAGCAACTGCAAGACAACCCCAGAAAAACACCCTCCAAGCTCCTCACATTACTGTGAAAAGTAGTAGTGAGCATACATGATTGATCTGAATTACTTTTAATGATTCATAACATAACAGGTGAACAATCTCTTCATGGACACAACCAAATAATTCAGTGCTGCTCCACACAGAGGCATAGACATGTGGGTGGCAACACACTAGTCCCAAAGTCATCACTCACATTGCCTACATCACCCACATTCCATCTCTCCTACATCACTCTCCATCACAGGGAATATCTTAGCAAGCATGTCTGAAGGGACATGTTCAGTTGAAGTTTCTAGGGAAGGATTTATATTTGTATGACAATAATCTGCTCTGGGTGTTGCTTTTATGGTTTGTAAACTTGGTGCTTTGACTGAACCAGCCTAGATTTGCCATCACAAGGGAGTCTTCTCTCACCTCTAAGAAGCAGTGGTCCTTGAGCTGGATGCTGCAAGGGGTTACTTCAAGCTGCCCAATTCTGCTCCCTTTCTTTGCTTTCCCAGAGAGATATAAACAGTTTGGAGGAGGAGCAGAGATTTGTAGGAAAAAAAATTGATTTGTCTTATCTTCCATATTAGAGAAGACTAAGGAATGGGATTCCTCAGCATAAGATATGACCATTTTCTGGGCTTTCCCTCCCTCCTCCAAGCAAGGCTCGTTTAATCTGTTACTGTCAGCAGGTTAATTATTTTAACTGCTGTACCAGAAATGCGTACTTCGAGCTGGCTGGATAAACTCATTTAAAATAGAAAGCACATTGGCAACTGTAGCTCTGCTTGGCCTCCACTCCCTTTCCTTAATTTGACGCCGTCCATTGGATTCGCAAACTTTCAGGACATAGGCAGATGCAGAGCTATTCGCTGGGTGCTTTGCACGTAGCTGGCTGGAGATAAGCAAACAGCCATACAATGAAAGAGAGAAATCCACGCACACACTGGCGCAGTTATTTGCCTGCTACTTTTCATAAGGAACATCAATATGTTTTCAGCCTGTTAAGTTTGAGACCTATGCCAAAAGCACTGAACTGCTCAGTTGGGAAAGACCTGCCAGAAACCCTGAGAAATAAGGAAACACCAGTATTTCCATTTAAACAAGGGTGGTGGTGGAGAGGGGAGGAGACAGACAGACCAGACTAGAAGGTCCCAAGGTCACGGAGAGCATTAAAGAGCAGGAAATTGAATCAGGATATGTCCTGTTCCAGACAAGGTCCCCAACCTCTCCATCACCTTCCAGAAGCACAGACCCAGTAGCACCAGCTTAAACAGCTTAAACTGTAAACAGCCAGCTTAAGTGTGAAAAGGTCTTGAGCTTTGAACCATTCAACCATTAGCTAGAACAACGAACTATTTTGATCAAGCCAGTGCTTTCTAGGAAGACAGGACGGTGATCACCAACTGACCTTGATGCCCCCCATGATACTGCAATAAACGTGTACTACTAGGTCATTTGTTGGCCTCATCTACACCAATGAAGCAGTAAGTACACTTAAGCAAGCTTTAACCTTGCTGGTTTGAGTGCCAAAAGCTATGAAAACACATCCCAAAGGACCTCAGCAGAGTCTTACCTTACAAACATCCCACAGTCTTGCCCATACTGCAATAGAGCTCACAAAACCATATCTTCCTCTTAGTTGCACCAGTCCACCTACAACTGCTGCAACCACATCTGCAGTGTAACTGCAGGTAAGACTCACAAGAGCCCTATCAAACATAGCTCTAACTAGGGACATCATTTGTTACTGCAGGGGAGACCTTATCATGCTCTACAACACCCTGAAAGGAGGTTGTAGCAAGGTGGGGGTTGGTCTCTTCTCCCAAGCAAGAAGTGATAGGACAAGAGGAAATGGCCTCAAGTTGCACCAGGGGAGGTTCCGATCGGATATTAGGGAAAATTTCTTCCCTGAAAGGGTTGTCAGGCATTGGAAGAGGCTGCCCAGGGAGGTGGTGGAGTCAGCATCCCTGAAGGGATTTAAGACACATATGGATGAGGTGCTCAGGGACATGGTTTTAGTGGCGGGCTTGGCAGTGCGGGGTTAATGGTTGGACTTGATGGTCTTAAAGGTCTTTTCCAACCAAAACAATTCTATCATGAAAGCAGTAACTAAACCAGTAAAGCTGGAGGGGGCAACCTGTGGAGTATCACATTCATCACAGCAGTACTCTAGCAAAAAGGGTATGGGGACCACAGGCACGCTTGATCTGCAGCATTCCTAGTCAGGCTAGAGTGAGGCAAAAGGCCATTCTCGGCTAGAGGCCATTCTCGGCTAGAGGCCATCTCGTATGAGACTAGGACACAGCTGACTAACCTCAGACACTGTTAGTATAAGCCATCTTGCCAGGTGCTGAGATTTCAGACTTTTTCACATCCCCTTGCATTTTAAGAATATGTTGTCATTAACCCTAGAAGACGACCAAGGCAAAGCAAACATGGAAGAACCCTCTGAAGCACCAGAGCAAACAAGAGCAAAATACTCACCATTTTAGGAGGAGCCAGGACTAGTATCACAAATCTCACTTCACAGGAGTTTTCACCCCAGTTCTGAGGCCTCTCCAGGCGACTGATGCAAACATGACGTCGCTGAAGGGACTTTATAGTGCAACTGTCAAGAAAGATATCACTGTTACATTTGGCATTATGAGACATGGCATGATCTGTCCTGGTGCACAAGGTTTATAAATACACATTTCAACTTTGAGAAACAAAATGCTGCTGGTTGTGAAAGGGTCACTTAAGTCTTAAACAGTGACTTAAAATTACTGTTAGCCCAATTCTGCTAACTCTCATTTCGCATAAAAACATGGATATCAAATTCTACAACTTTTAAGATTAAGGTGTATTCTCCCTCTTCCCCCATCTGCTTTTTAATAGACAAGAAATCAAAAGACAGAGTGCAACATATCTAGTACTTGCAGTGCTACAGAAGCTTCTACAAAAAAAGCGCTCTTCAAAAAACCTCACCACTTACATTATTGGAAAGCACTTTACACTTCATTTCACCTGATCTCTCAGAGTGCTTTTGGAAACATTAAGGCAAGGTGCCAAACCAACATATTCCCACTTTTGCCTTGAGCAGATCTTTCTTTGAATGGCTTACCCTATTTGCTCTCAGCTGTTATTTTTCCCCTTTCTAGTACAGGTGTTACAGAAACTGAGCTGACCTCCTTGTTCAAGACCTACAGAGGCTGTAGCAAGCATGATTACTGCTCAGAGGGAAATCCTTGGCTGCAATCCAGCTAGTGCTACTGAGCATGCAATGGCTGTTTGATTTCCATAATAAAGACTAGCAATAAGTTGTTTGAAATAAACACAGATCATCTTTGGAGGCAAGGTCTGTCTCTGTCCTGGGATATTGAAAAACAGAGCTGTGATCTGAGTAGCCACAATTTTCTGCTGGAAAACTCTGAAAAGGCAGCTAAGTGTCTTGGTGCAATTGCAGGAGGAGGTTAACACCAGCTGGACTGCAGATCTCCCATTCTCATGAAAGCCACCTACTACTTCTCAACCCTTCTGAAAGCACCAAGGAGGTTCACACACAAGTTTTGCCTATTGACACTGCAAGAAGTATAGGAGTGTGTTTCCTACAGCTGAGTGATTTCTCCACACACCCCTCTCCAGTTCAAAGGCACTTAGACTGCTTGCTCCCTTTTATTCACCCAGCAAGCATCTATCACAGTCCTTTAATCTAATCTCTCCTTGAACTTCTCTTCCATAAACCTAGCCCATCCCCTTCCTTTTAACTTGTATTCCCACTCCCATGCACCCTGAAGGTTGTTATAGCAATGGATCCTGAAGATCTTTGCCTGGAGATGCATTAGTGTCGTGGTTTAACTCCGGCTAGCAAAATACCACAAAGCTGCTCTCACAAATCCCCCTCCCCTCTTCCAGTGGAGGGGAAGAATCTGTGGAAAAAGTAGTAAAGGAAGCTCGTAAAATTGAGAT